ACCCCAGATAGTGTGGTTGCTGACCTTGAGCCAGACATCCTGGAGAGTGAAGTCAAATGGGCCTTAGAAAGCACTGCTAATAACAAGGCCAGTGGAAGTGATGATATTCCAGCTGAGCTATTTAAAATTTTATACGATGATGCTGTTAAGGTGCTACACTCAATATGCCAGCAAATTTGGAAAACTCAGCAGTGGCCAGAGGTTTGGAGAAGATCAGTCTACATCCCAATCCCAAAGAAGGGCAGTGCCAAAGAATGCTCCAACTACCGTACAATTGCACCCATTTCACACGCTAGCAAGGTTATGCTTAAAATTCTACAAGGCAGGCTTAAGCAGTATGTGGACCGAGAACTCCCAGAAGTGCAAGCTGGATTTCAAAGGGGCAGAGAAACCAGAGACCAAATTGCAAACATGTGCTGGATTATGGAGAAAGCTAGAGAGTTCCAGAAAGACATCTACTTCTGCTTCATTGACTATGCAAAAGCCTTTGACTGTGTCGACCACAGCAAACTATGGCAAGTTCTTAAAGAAATGGGAGTGCCTGATCACCTCATCTGTCTCCTGAGAAATCTCTATGTGGGACAAGAAGCTACAGTTAGAACTGGATATGGAACAACTGATTGGTTCAAAATTGGGAAAGGAGTACGGCAAGGCTGTATATTGTGTTGGGATACTGCCAGGGAGACAAAGTCCATCATGACTCCACGTCGTCTCCGTTGCGATCCATCGATCTCCCGTAGACACAGTATCAGCAATTAGCGACATGAGCTCCAGAAATAGCTTGCCACATTCCAGAGCTGATGCACGCTCTATCAGCAGATAATGCACAGCGAAAGATGCACTCAGGAGAGCATTATTTACAAGTTTATTCAGCGTTGATCAGAACAAAGAAAACATGACTGCCTGCTTCAGTGTCTCAGGCGCAGAGTGAGAAACGAAAGCATAGACACAACAGAAACATCCTGTGAACAGGAAATACGCAGGCTGTGACACAAACATCCTGCTCCCTTTTAAGGTGGAATGGAAATATCCTAACATATTGTCTCCCTGCTTATTTAACTTATATACAGAATTCATCATGCGAAAGGCTGGGCTGGATGAATCCCAAGCTGGAATTAAGATCGCCGGAAGAAATATCAACAACCTCAGATATGCATATGACACAACCTTGATGGCGGAAAGTGAGGAGGAATTAAAGAACCTTTTAATGAGGGTGAAAGAGGAGAGCGCAAAATATGGTCTGAAGCTCAACATCAAAAAAAATGAAGATCATGGCCACTGGGCCCATCACCTCCTGGCAAATAGAAGGGGAAGAATTGGAGGCAGTGAGAGATTTTACTTTCTTGGGCTCCATGATCACTGCAGATGGTGACAGCAGTCACGAAATTAAAAGACGCCTGCTCCTTGGGAGAAAGGCGATGGCAAACCTAGACAGCATATTAAAAAGCAGAGACATCACCTTGCCAACAAAGGTCCGTATAGTTAAAGCCATGGTTTTCCCAGTAGTGATGTATGGAAGTGAGAGCTGGACCATAAAGAAGGCTGGTCGCCGAAGAATTGATGCTTTTGAATTATGGTGCTGGAGGAGACTCTTGAGAGTCCCATGGACTGCAAGAAGATCAAACGCATCCATTCTGAAGGAAATTAGCCCTGGGTGCTCACTGGAAGGACAGATTGTGAAGCTGAGGCTCCAATACTTTGGCCACCTCATGAGAAGAGAAGACTCCCTGGAAAAGACCCTGATGTTGGGCAAGATGGAGGGCACGAGGAGAAGGGGACGACAGAGGATGAGATGGTTGGACAGTGTTCTTGAAGCGACAAACATGAGTCTGACCAAGCTGCGGGAGGCAGTGGAAGACAGGGGTGCCTGGCGTGCTCTGATCCATGGGGTCACGATGAGTCGGACACGACTAAATGACTAAACAACAACAATACAAATTATACAATATTAATATTTTGCATTTTTTGGGTGTGTTTCACTTAATGAGTCCCATTAGCAGAAGCGCTGTGTAAGGACTTCCACTTCCCTGCTGTGGGTACGAGCTTGAACAGTTTTGCCTTCCTCAAACCTTCCCAGGAAAACACTGAATTTTGCTTAAAAATAATACAGCAAGTTTGATGTGGTGAATCGTACGAACATGATATGACTATTGTCATGACTTTCGCTTTTCAAAGGTTAGCTAGACTTTGGATCCCCTCCTTCTGCTTTTTATGTGCTATGCAAGCAACATCTAAAACAAGCAACATCTAAAATGCCCTTTGCACATAAAAAGTCACAGACATCTGAAGACTCTGGCATTCGCTTAATGTTATGCAACAGAAGGTAGATAATCAAAAAGCATTTTTAAGTAGGTGGGGAAAAGAAATTGCATAAAGTAACTTTACAATTGGACCAGAACCTTAAGCATTAATTTATCATGATGTAAAGGGCTAAAATGTGGAGCATATATTAGGGCTGCCAGATGATTAAAACACTTAGCAATCATATAAACTAAAAGCTTTTGCAGATGACCTGGTTTTGACCCTGCAGAAGCCAGAGCCCAGTACGAAAAGAGTATTACAATTGATTAATGATTTTGGTCGGGTGGCGGGATTTAAATTAAATAAACAGAAAACTAAGGTTTTGGGGAAAAATTTGACTGATACAGAGTCAGAACGGTTTCAGAATGAGACGGAACTTAATGTGGTTAAAAAGTAAAATACCTAGGGGTAAACATAACAGCAAAAATCTAAGTCTATTTAAGGATAACTATGAAAAATGTTGGACAGAAATTAAGAGAGACTTAGACAGTTGGTCAAAATTGAAACTTTCTTTGTTAGGCCGAATTGCTGCTATTAAGATGAATGTATTGCCAAGGATGTTGTTTTTATTTCAAACACTTCAGGTTTTGGACAAAGCGGAGTGCTTTCAGAAGCGGCAGAGAGATATTTCGAAGTTTGTCTGGCAGGGCAAAAGCCCAGAATCAAGTTTAAGATATTAACTGATGCAAAACAAAGAGGGCTTTGCCCTGCCGGACTTAAAGTTGTATTATGAAGCCGCAGCGTTCTGCTGGCTAAAAGACTGGCTACTTCTTGAAGACACTGATGTGTTGGATTTGGAAGGGTTTAATAATGTTTTTGGATGGCATGCATATTTATGGTATGACAAAGTTAAAGCAAATAAGGCCTTCAAGAACCATATTGTCAGAAAATCATTGTTTAATGTCTGGACAAAATATAAAGACTTGCTGGAAAATAAAACACCAAGGTGGCTTTCACCTTTGGAAGCTAAGGCCCGAAAAAGACCCAATATGGAGGCTAAATGGCCAAAATATTGGGAAATACTAGAAAAGATGGAGACAATTGGAAAGTGCAGAGTTTGGAGAAAATGCCAGACAAAGTGCGAGACTGGTAACAGTACGCACAGATTAAAGAAGATATTAAAAATGATAAGAAACTAGGGTTCCAGGTGGAGAAATCGAAATTAGAAACAGAATTGTTAGAACCAAAGATTAAGGTACTTTCAAGGATGTATAACTTGCTGTTGGAATGGAATACACAAGATGAAATGGTTAAATCGGCTATGATAAGGTGGGCACAGGACATTGGGTATAATATTATGTTTGAGGACTGGGAAAAGTTGTGGAGTAATGGATTGAAATTTACTGCATGTAACGCTCTGAAAGAAAATGTAATGAAAATGATTTATAGATGGTATATGACCCCAGTCAAACTTGCAAAAATTTACCACCTGTCTGATAATAAGTGTTGGAAATGTAAAGAGTCTGAGGGAACGTTCTTCCACCTCTGGTGGACTTGCCCTAAAGTGAAGGCGTTCTGGGAGATGATTTATAACGAATTGAAAAAGGTATTTAAATATACCTTCACCAAGAAACCAGAGGCTTTCCTTTTGGGTATTGTCGGCCAAGGGGTGGCAAGGAAGGATCAGACATTGGTTATGTATGCAACAACAGCAGCAAGGATACTTCTTGCAAAACATTGGAAAACTCAAGATCTACCCACACTGGAAGAATGGCAGATGCAACTGATAGACTACATGGAACTGGCTGAAATGACCGGCAGAATCCGTGACCTGGGAGAAGAGAGAATCGAGGAGGATTGGAAGAAATTTAAGAACTATCTACAAAAATATTGTGATTTGAGTGAATGCTAAATAAGATGCTAGACTAAATAACTGAGCACCACTTAACTTAGAAGTTTTTAAGAAAATAAGTAAGACTGTGAAAGTTTAACTCTCTATGAGAACCATAAGTTTATGAAATATTGAAGAGATATAAGAATTTAAATAAGATGATAAATTGCTGACAAAATGTTATAACGATGAAAGTGGGAGCGGGAGATGTGAGGAAGCCCAAAGAAAATGTGAAACTATGTTAAGACAAATGTTATATTGTTTACTATGTTTATTCTTACTGTAAAACCCAATAAATTGCTTTAAAAAAAAAAAAAAAAACACTTAGCAATCTTCCATAATACAAAGATAGATCCAAAGATAGCTCAGCTGTTCTTGACTAAATATCACAGATCAAACAAAATTCTGTGACTTTTTTAAAGGACACTCTTCTTTAGTTCATTACCTGAATATAGGTAAGCAATGAAACAATCTGGGTTTTCCCCCCAAATGAAAACCCTGACTGAAATCCATTTTGTAAACTGCTTCTGATATAGTCATTGACTAATTCTAATTAATTGTTGATTTCAGTCTTGGTGTTATCTATTACTCTGATGAACTATTTCAATTCAATTTAAGGACCCATCCTAACACAGAGCTACAAACGATCTTAGGTTCATGTTTACCTTGTAGTGCAATCCTATGCATATCGATTCGGAAGCAAGCCCCACTATGTTCAATGACAGGTGACTACGGGATAGCATCCTAAAGCTTGTCCTCCTCCCCCATTCTAAAAGGTTTGACATTCTTGATTGTAACACTTCTACAATTTCCAGTGGCTGTGACTTGCATATGAATATATTGCATTGATTCTCATGAAGGAACACATGGATAGTTCAGTTGTTTAGAGCATTGTGCTGATAATACCAAGGTTGTAGGTTCGATCCCCGCATGGGACAGTTGCATATTCCTGCATTGCAGAGGGTTGGACTAGTTGATCCTCAGGGTCCTTTCCAACTTTCTGATTCCATGAATATATATATTTATTAATAAAATTAAAGTACAGAAGTTGTAGGTGTGCTGATCCCAGGCTTACTTAGTAGAGGGTGCCAGAAGTGGGAGAACATGAAGGGGCTGAGGAAGCTGGTCCTGCTCTGAGACTTTGCACCAGTGCCCCAATGAAACTTGCGGGGAAGCAGTTGGCAGTATCCCAAATGGGAGCTGGCATGAAGGGGCAAAGCTTTGAAGGCATGAGACCAGACTGCCCTAGTTAACACATACTTTCCTCTACACTTGGGGGGGAGGGAGAAGCAGGAGGCACCACTGGCCACTACACTAGCTTCCTGTCAGGTGAGCTGCTGCTGCTGCTTGCCAAGGGGGGTCAGGGCAGTGGACAGGGCAGTGTGGTGCAAACACACTAGCAGGGTTTCCTGATTGGCTTTGCACCAAACTAACCTCTGCCTCAACAGTCACACACATCCTTCATCCTAGTAAGCAACAACTATCAACCTGCACATAATCTAGCATGGTGGCTCTATCCCACCCAGCAAACTAGTTCTGAGAGCAACCACAGCTGTAGAGACACTGAAACTAGTGAACAGGGGGAAATCTTATTGAAGGAGGTGACAAGCAAGTAGTAATACTGCTCCCCTACAAAGGATGACAACTCTGCTGATTATTAGGTCTAGGAAGCCCAGGCCAGGAATTGCTCCTCTTTTCCACCAATATGTTGCAACTGCTGGATGAATCCACTTCCAGGTCAGATATTTCACTTCACTGTTTGTAGTGATGTAAATGGACAGGGATGACACACTTTAGTTTACTTAAGTTTAATTTGTTACTTGTCTGTGCTGTGTGCTTTCTCTGAATTGCCAATTGAAAGAGGATCTGCTGTATAGAAACTCCCAGGCTTCACCCCCTTGCTTTTTTATAGTGAAAATGGCTTTGGGGAAGGGGGGGGAAGAGTTAACACAAATGTTTGTGAATCATATTGTTGCACTGACTGGCCAGAACAAGAGGATCTGGGAGCAGGTTTTCATAGCAAGCAATTTGGTAGGAGATTGTTTGCATGTTTTTCCTTATATATTTGTAAATTAAGAGGTTGTAGATAATGCTCTTTTTAAATAAATAAATAAAAAGGAAGATAAAACATTCTGGGATGGAATCTGGAACGTCCTTTGGGCATCCGGTCACTGCAGGGCTCCCTATGATGGTGCTTGGAACCAAATGGTGAAAATGTTCCGGAAGGTCTGTCAACTTCATAGTCAAGATAACCCCTAGTTGTTATTTGCCACAAGAATGAGCTCAGATATATTATCTGCTTGCTGTGATATATGCTTATTGGTTTGCTTTGATGCTATGCTTATCTGTTGGCTTGGGATGCTCAGCTAGAGCATCTCAAGCCAACAGAGATGAGTTGTCAGTCCAGTTTGGAGGCCTGCCACCTACATCGTCCGAGACAGGTGGGCTTAATTGCCCAGAGGATGTACGGTGTTTTCTGTACAGTGGTACCTCAGGTTACAGACGCTTCAGGTTACAGACTCCTCTAACCCAGAAATAGTACCTTGGCTTAAGAACTTTGCTTCAGGATAAGAACAGAAATCGCGCGGCAGCAGCGGGAGGCCCCATTAGCTAAAGTGATGCTTCAGGTTAAGAATAGTTTCAGGTTAAGAACGGACCTCCAGAACGAATTAAGTTCTTAACCCAAGGTACCACTGTATAAGTAATCCATAAAATGCTTGCCCAGAGGCCAGCAGTCATGAAGAATGCTTGCTGTTTCGGCATCTGTCCCGGGTCTGTAAAGGTAGGAAGGTCTCCCGCCTTGCCTTGTAAACTTTCACCTATTTACAATAAAGGACTAGAATTGATCACTCTGGCATTTTGACATCCTTCTTTGGAAACCCTGCACCAAACCACATGCACAGGCCCTCCTTTGGCCCTGCGGATCAGGACAGATGGTTGGAATGGACTTTTGATAATAAATTCAAAATTGGTACTTCAGTCACATGATTTTGGCAGTTTTATTTTCAGTCCCTTTCCTAATGCTTCCTAGCATGGAATATGCCCTTTTCACAGCTGCCATACGCCAGCTTGGTGTTTTTTTTATTTAGCCAACTCAGTCACTGCCTTCTCAAGTACCATCGGTACATATGTGAAGCATTTTTAATATATATTTTTATATATTTCAGCTCTAATGCTCCTCACTTACAGTAGCAAAATAAATGCATATAGCATTTCCTTGCCCGTTCATCCAGTTTGTAAAGCTCCTTTTGAAACTTATTGCAATCCTTAAAATACAATAAAAAACCACCCTAAATAAAGTGGAACTATCAGCATACTTGAGAACCTTGCTGCTTATTCCTAACCCCAGATGATTTATGAACAAGTTTAAAAAGCACGCGTCCCAATATTCCTTCCTTCCATTGTGAGAAATGCCCACTTGCATCTTTCAGTAACTGATAAAGAAATCTATTACATGCATTTTCAGAAATGAACAAGCCAAGATCAATTAAATACTTTTCCAAACCCTGATGGAATTTAATCATCACATATCCGTATGCTGTTTTAAGGCTTGCCAATAGATATAAATCTCTCTGCACAAAACGATCCCTTAAGCGTTTTTAAATTTCTAATTTAGTGGTCAGCAGCAGCCACGTTGCTTTGAAATAATTCATGAAAAAAGCCATAGATCAGAAACAAGTGGGCAGTTTTATTTATGCCACATGTTGGGGCTGATGAAATTATATTGAATCTGTTCACATAAACAAAGCTTTGGAAGTCCAGCTTCTGATATATAGTATAACTTATAAGCCCAGACTTAAGTAAGTGTGAATCACTGCTTGTATCATGCCAGTTTCGATTCTCAGCATAACTAAAAGAGAACTCCTAGGGGTTCCTAAAATGTAATTTAGGTTTTTATTATAAAGAAAAAACAAATTTGGTTTTCTACCAAAGCTCCATATTTTAGGGCCATAATTTAGGATGCATTGAGGTTTCCTTCCAAGGTTTTCAGTATCAGTGTTCATCCCCTGAAGTCCAGCAGAATGTTATTATACTGAGAAGAATTGCTCAATTTTCAGCTTTGCCTGAGCTAAGTGGTTGTTCTCCCTATATGTTCACATTGCAAAAAAAGTAATAATCCTAAATAGCAATAAAATGTGACCTACTCCATGGAATTTACTCCCACAAGAGCTAGTGATGGCCACCAGTGTGAATGGTTTTCAAAGATCATTAAACTAATTCATGGAGGGTGAGGCTGTCAATGATTATGGCTATGTTCTGTCTCCCAATATTAGAAGCAGTAAGCCTTTGAATAGCAGTTGCTGCACAGGTAGGAAAGTGTAGTTTTACTCAGGTTCTTCTGGTGGGCTTCCCATGAACATCTGGCTGGCCACCTGTGAGAACAAGATGGTGTACTAGATGGGCCTTTGATTTGACCCAGCACTCTCATTTTATGATTTATGGCCTAATGCAACACTTTTTTGTGTTTTCTTAATTTATAGACAAAAATGACCCAAGGCATCTGGCAGCTGGCCTAGCTCACCTTTCAGTTTTGTTATAATGGACCAACGCAACCACCTGATTTTAATCTAGCATAAAGCTAACTTTGCAATTATTTTTTTCTATTATGCCATCCCAAACCTGTAGCATATTCTTATGGCATCATATAGATTTGGTCTGCTTTCTCTACTACATTTTCCAGTCAAAGTCCTGAGGCTGCTTAAGACCAGCAAATTTATTATAACGTAAGTCACACATTCTAATTTCAAAAGAAATACCTGCCCTACCAGTCCTGAAAAGAAGCATGAAAATCATTTATATCAGCCTTCTGCAATGTTGCAGATGTTTTGGACTACAGCTTCCATCTATCCTGGACCCTGACCATTGACTTGGATGGCTGGAGTTGTTGGAAGGTGAAGCCGCAACAACATCTGGCAGCCAGGGAGAAGCTTAAGAAAGGACTGATTGATTGAATAATAGTACAGTGGTACCTCGGGTTACATACACTTCAGGTTACATAGGCTTCAGGTTACAGATTCCGCTAACCCAGAAATAGTACCTCGGGTTAAGAACTTTGCTTCAGGATGAGAACAGAAATCGGGCTCCGGTGGCACGGCAGCGGCAGGAGGCCCCATTAGCTAAAGTGGTGCTTCAGGTTAAGAACGGACCTCTGGAACGAATTAAGTACTTATGAGGTACCTGAGGTACCACTGTAATACTAAACATCTATTTCTGCAAATTTTTACACTTTACAAGTGGAAATGCAGAAGGAAGGCTCCCATGAGGGCCAACAAGCAACAAATGGAGGGAAGCAACTAGGTCAGGAGAATACTAGCAAACCTGCATATACCAACTTTCCAAAGTACTAACTGAAGCGGAAGTCTTTTGTTGAAGCAGCCACGTCATTGATCCCTTTCAAAGCAACCACATGGAGACAGCCTCATGCGGTAAAATAACACACAAGAAGCGTTTCCCGCACACAGTTCCTGTGATTTCAACCACACTTTCTGGGTGTTTTTTACTGCCATGGTTAAAATACCTGGAATGTGTTGGAAATCCAGTCCACAACAAGCGATTTGCCACTTAGAGCTATCTCTTTGTCATTGCATTTCGATTCCAGTGCATCAGTGCATGAATCGTGACTCAGAGTTCATGGATCACTGTCTCATACAAATAGGGAGAAATTTAGAAATGTGTCTTGCATTTAAGGACATAGAATCTGAAGGTAACATTGCTAACAGGTAGGATAAACAGATAATTGTAGTGATGTTATCAGAAGATTGCTGCTTGTGTTGAAACAACTAAGGGCTCTTTCATTGCCTGGGCTTCACTTTCAAAGCAGATTGCCTACTGTCACCTGGAGACAGACAGGTGACCTGGGACAAGAGGTTTGCTGTTATTGTAGTTAAACTGTCAGTTGTCAGATGAAGAGGTGCAGAAGGAGAGAACAAACACCACA